CATCAGGGTCCACACTAGTTGTGTGGGCTCCGTGGGTTTGGAAAGATGCCTCCACCATCCCAGTGTCATTAGAGTGTTCTTAGAGTTTCCCAGTTCATTCCTCCCTCCCAACCCAAAACTGGCTACAGAGCCCACGTTGGCCTTGAACTCACAGAGATCTGCCTGCATGTGCCTCCAGTGCTTACATTAGAGGCACACATCCCCTTGCCAGCAGCCACTCACCAACTGTCATCAGGTTTGCCTTTTCCAGAAAGCCACGGTAGAAACCTTGACTGCGGCATTTCCAAATTGGCTGCTTTCCCCTGGTGATGTGTTTAAGGCCCCTCCGTGGCTCTTCAGGGACCGGCATGCCCGAGTCTCTCTACTCCCCTGCTGGAGGCATGCAGGAGACCTCTGCCTCATCTCAGTCCCTCATGTCCATCACGAAAGCCTTTGAGTCAGGGCCTCAGAGGCTGTGATGAATTTCACTTGGCTCCTTCCAAGGCCTTCCCTGTCGGGGCCAGTTGACAGACAGATGGCAGTGACCCTCTAGCATGCAGGCATCATGTATAGGTGCCTGCCACATGCAGTCAGGTGTGAAGGCCTGTCATCCGGGAGGAAATCCTGGAGGACATTTCAAAGGCAGGGGCACAGGGGTTTGCTCTTAAGGTGGTGGTGGAGACCGAGAGGCCTTCAGCTCAGGCTCCGGGAGTCCGTGTCCAGGAATGACAAGAAAGCTCAAAAGAGACCACCAGTTGTGACCCTGTGAATGAGAGCTAGGGGTGGCAGGGGACACTGGAGATTGAAAGGCACTGGAAAGTGAACATAGAAGCCTAGAAATAAATCTGGCATCTGATGAAGCTGGGGGTGTGGGTGTCTGGCAGCTGCCATTCTGGAAGACGCAGTGGATATTTCACCTCGGACCAGGTAGCCCGTGGGTTCCACTCCTTGACCCTGCCAACCCCAGGCCCTAGAACAGTCTCCTGGGCTCAGCCTTCATCCCTGTGAATCCTTTCCCTCCCAAATCGGACTCTAGTGGAGCAGGAGGTAAGTTTCCAGGCCTTATGTGATATCGTCTCTTCCAATGCAGCCTAGAGAGTGGCCCTCTGATGGGACAGACGCAGTCAGGTCCTGGGCATGTACCCAGCCAAAGTCACTGGAATAAGCAGCTATTGGGTGATTTGGAGTCACTAAAGACAATTAAAAAGTAGAAAATCCTGGGTGTCCCGGAGCATAGGCCCTCATATGAGCCTCGGGATTGCACTGTGCAGGCTCCCTCTTCCTGATTGGTGTTTCCAAGCCTTGGCATGGCTGGCCTTGGCCCATTCAGCTGCCTTTGGCCTCAAGGTCATTGCTTGTGAGATATGCACTATGCTGGTGTCACAGGGGTGACAGGAGGGCTGAACAGGGTGAAGCTAAGCAGGGTATTGGAGAGGAGGCAGCAAGTTACACTGTTGTGTTCCCTGGTGACTGACTTCAGTGTCTGGGCTGGAACCAAGGAAGGGGGAATCTGTGCCCTGCCCAGCCCAAGCCAAGCAAGAGGACAGGAGATGTCTGCCTCAGAGGCGCCTGGGTCTTGGTCGGCTTTGTTTGGGTAATTTATTAGTTGGAAAGACTGCCTTTTCTTAACAGTTATGTGCCCCTGGCTGCCAGACTGTCTTTGACCTTCAAGGACAGTTTGTTCAGCCTTGCTTTGGGCATTTCTATATTTGGAGTGGCTTTAAGGAGGCAGGGTCATTGGCTGAACCACACCAGATCCCTGAATCCTGAGTATTCCTCCTCTGCCAGCCTTCAGCTCCCTGCCCCCCCCCCCACAGATGCCCAGTGCAGCACAGGACAGTTGGGGACTCTGCTTTCCCGATGACCTCCTGCTTGTCTGACTCTGTCTTGTCTCAGAACATCAAGTCATCCACAAGTGGCTGAGACAGCATGGTTCTGCCTGCTGCTGTGAGAAACACGGTCCCCTCTGAGAAGCACAGACACGATGGGGTGGGGTGGGAAGGAAGTGAACAGGCTGGGCAGGCTCTCTGCTACCTCTCCATGGGTGCACTTGACACCGCTATTCCACGACTGCCTAAGGTTCGAGAACTGAATCCCACTAGGGGCAAAAGATGCTCGTGTCAAATCTGCAACCAGTTCACTAGCCTAGAGGGAAGGCAGCAGGGTTTTCCTGGCATCCCTCTCTTGGGTTAGCACAGTTCTTCCTCTGACCACCAGAGGGCAGCACCACCACCAGACCCACAGCTCCAGGCAGCTCTAGTGGGCAGAGTGGGATTTGGCCAGCAGATCCGCACTCTTAATATAGTTCTTGCCCAGATGCATTTCCAGTAACTTGGGAACTTGCGTGCTAGGCAAGTGCTGTGCTACTGAGCTACACCCAGCCCCCACATAGTCCTGAAAAAGAGGTGGTCATTGTTATGGAACACTTCCATGTTTGCCCGGCTGGTTGCTAAGCACAGCCTTTTGCCCTTGTTTCCCCAGGACCAGGGGATGTGAGAAGAAGGTGGGTGGATGGAAAGGACAGATGGAAGGACAGATCGAAGTCAGAGGGTGGGTGGATACGCAGGACAGATGGAAAGGCAGATAGAAGGCAGGGGTGTAGTGGAGTGGGGCGGACAGGGACGCTCGCTAAGTCACAACCCCACGAGAGGCAGAGCTGAGATGGTATCCCAGGCCAGCTCACCCCACAGCCCACAGGACCCCCAAATCTGAAAGCGAGCCAGGTTCAGGCCATACAATCCCTGCTTTGACCAGTTTGTGTCCCAAACTGGGTGGACATAAAGGTTCTGGAAAGCCACCCCACCCTGCATCTCTGAGCCACACAGGACCAGGGTGACTCACTCGCAAGGATGTCATCTACAAGACCCCCCTGTGGCCCAGCCATACACAGCTGTGAGCATTGACTCCAGCTCAGCTTCTTATCCACAGCTGTAAAGACCTGGCCACACCGAGGCCCTCAAAGTCCAGATAAGCCAGAGGCCCCGGCTCTATGGCCTCCCACCAGCTTTCTACAGTTATGGATGGGTGTCTCTGATCCAATTCAGTAGTGAAGGGATAGGATGCAAGTGCGACAGAAGTCACACCGTGGCCAGGTCAAGGTGCTGGGAGCGTTGGGATAGACTGGCTGCACGTGACAGTAAGGGCTGAAGGCTGACAGTAAGGGCTGAAGGCTGTATCGTGCTGCTGCTGAGGGGCCACATTGTCACTGTGGTCATCAGAGTGGCATAGATCACAGAGGTGGGAAAAGTCCTGTGGAAGAGGGAGGATGAAGTGAGCCCCATGGAGGCTATCCGCTTGGATAAGCTGAAGCGCAACTCGAGGCAGACATCAGTCAGGGTGACGGGTTAGAGGCGGTCCGGCCTCTATGGCTGGTCCTAGGTGGGAGGCAGAGGCAAAGGTCAGGCAGCAGCTGTAGACGAGCAATTGCATTCTGGCCTTGTTGGGTCATGCTGCAAAGGCATGGTTAAGCCCCTGGGCTGTTAATGGAGGGAACGCCTGCCTTCTGCGCAGCTGGCTGTGGCACAGGGTTGTGTGGTGGGTGGAGCCGGGTTCTCTGGCCTGTGGCTGTAGGCTGTGGGTGCCATCCTATATCTGCAGTCCCTGGGCGTGGCTGTGCATTCATTCTCAGCATGGTGGCTCACACAGTAGTTGGCTAAGGTAACTCTTGTGGGCTGCTGTTGCTAGTGGTAGGTCCTGCCCACTGTGAGGGGAGAAGAGCAGGCGGCCAGTGTGCTCCACTCTGTCCCCTCCATCACTACCACTGTGTGTGTATCGTCTGGCTGCAGTGATGAAGGGGAGTAGCACTGGAGGAGCGAGGCTGGGCAGACTGTGTTGGGCTGAAGTTGAGGCTGTGGCCCTTCTCCTGTAGCTGCGGATGGGACCCTCACCTCACTTTTGCTGGCTCTGGAGATGCCAGCTTGCATGGCTCATGGTCCTTCCTTGTTGAGACTAGCTATACTGCGCCTCTCTGACCTCTTCCTAAATCGCATCTCCACCGACTACCCAGGAAATGCCCTTTGATGACATTGGGCCATGCTGGACAGACAATGGCCTTTCCTTTGCCTCCTTAGCCCTTGTCTGAGCTTAGGAAACCCCCAAGTCCCATATATGTCCATAATGTTCCAATCTACACCTGGGTACCTTGCTGGTTTGGCAGAGTCTGTGCATCAGCAGAGCATGTGGCTTCTCTAGGCCAGTCCCTGCCACAGACCCACATGGTCCCTGTATGGCAACCTGGGGCTATGGCTCTTTAGTTCCTTGAATACACTCAGTTTTGCTTCAGCCTAAACACTTGAGAATCTCCTGGATACTTCCCCATTATAGGGCTGTTGAGGGGGGGGGGGAGATCTGAGGCTTTATACCATAACCTAGCATCCCATATGCAGGCATCTACAGCTGCTTTAGCAGGCCACAGGGTCATACCCGATACATGGTCATGCCTGGTCCTAGGACCGCAATGCTGGTTCTTGAACTTGTGGTCTCCAATGCCTCTTTCAGCTGCCTACCTGGCTGTGGATGACTCTTGGTGGTCACTAACAATGTCTAGTTTGGTGTTTTGAGACCCAAAGGAAATGTGAAGCCAGCAGCTCTCAGAGGGCTGCAGCTGTCTGAAGAGGACACTGAGGGTCCCAGGGCTGAAGGATCACTGAGCTGTCTGGAAGTGATGTCCCTCTAAGACTCTAAGCGTCAATGTTGTACTGGATGGATGCAACCAAGGGTTAGTTGCTCTTTAAAAGGGGACAATGGTGGCCTTGCGACATCGGCACTGCATAGAGATATGTGGAATGCCATGGACAGGTATGCAGTGATACACATAAGACTGCTTCCTGAGTAGAGCAGTCACAAACAGAGCCCACAATGGCTTTACCAAATATTCTTGGCCCTCAGAACTGTTACCTGCCACACAACCTGAGTGTCACTTAACCAGGGCTGTGGTTAAAGTGTGGGGGCATGCCGGGACGCATCCTGCTTGCTCTTCATGTCTAGAGTGTCTCCCACTTTAACCTCCTTTCTCCCCACAGTGTCGCAGCCCCAGGCTGCTCATGCCCCGCTGGAGAAGCCAGCTAGCACTGCGATCCTGTGCAGTACCTGTGGGAATGTGTGCAAGGGTGAGGTGCTGCGTGTGCAGAACAAGTACTTCCACATCAGGTGCTTCGTGTGCAAAGGTGAGTGTGTACTTGGCCTTGGGCTTGGCTGCAGAGTGTCCTGAACTGGTCTTCCGAGCCACCCTTCTCCTTCTGGGTATAGAAAGCTCTCTGGTCACACCTGAGCATCTGTAGAGTTCTGCGGCTGTGTCTTTCCAGAATGCCATCTGGAGTGACAGAGGAATCCTCTCAGGGGGATAGGGAGACTCTGGATCTTCAGGGTCAGATGTGTGCATCTAAACAAGGATCAGAGATACCAGTCCTGGAGCCACTGGGGCACTGTGCAGGGTGTCAGTGGCCTTTGCTGGCTGTGCGAAATCCGTAACAGTGTTGGGGGGTAGGAGCTTGCTGCAACCCTCCTGCAGTAGCCCTGAATATGTTCTAAATGAGTCATTCATTTTTCTTTGCTTATGAAAAGTAGCCTAAAAAACACTTAATCTTAAATAGTATCAAGAAGAGGAGAGGGTCTGAAGCTGTGTGTGCAGCCTCTCCAGTGAGTGTGTGTGTGTGTGTGTGTGTGTGTGTGTGTGTGTATGCAGCCTCTCCAGCGAGTGTGCCTGTGTGTGGGTGCAACCTCTCCAGAGGGTGTGCCTCTGTGTGTGTGTGTGTGTGTGTGCAGTCTCTCCAGTGAGTGAGTGTGTGTGTGTGTGTGTGTGTGTGTGTGTGTGCAGCCTCTCCAGCGGGCATGCCTGAGTGTGCAGCCTCTCCAGGGTACCTGGGTGGGTTTGGAGACTTCTCCTCTGCCCTGCATTCCATGTGTATGCTGGGGACTGAGCACACCTCCTTCCAATACCCAAGAAATGTGAGAAAAAGTACTCACAGGGCGCAGTGGGTAGGATCCACCTACAGGACATGGCATGTAGACTCACAGAGCTGGCAGTGTTAAAGGGACAATGTTTTGGAGGCCATGGATGCTTCCCATCAGTGCAGCCAAGCCCTATGCACATGAGCCCTGGCTTGGCAGTGGTGTTCTCCTGGGCTGTCTGGAGATTGGCCCTGCCTTCACCATGGTGACTCTCAGTGATGGGAGGAAATGTTAAGTTTATTGTTTGGGTAGAAAAAGTAGGAGCCATATCCTTGGAACACAGAGGTCAATAGGAGGGTCTGGAGGCCCCCAAAAACAAGTCAGAGGAGGTACATTTGGCTTTAACTTGAAGACAGAAATTTGCCAGGCAAGAACAAGGCTGCCTAAGTGGGATGTGACCCTACCAAGTCAGCTCTCTCTGTGTGTGTGTGTGTGTGTGTGTGTGTGTGTGTGTGTGTGTGTGTGTGTGGTGAGGGCTGGTGACTGAATTCAGAGAGAGGAGCTAGAACATCTAGGGGTTCGATCCCAGGACCTTCTCTGGCCCCCGAATCTATAGAGATACCTGGGCTTCTGTTTGTGGAACTCTGCCCCCTCCACACTGGTCCTCTGACTCAGCTCCAGTGTATAGAGTCCTGATGTTTGAAAAGAGAATTTTCTGCAGAAGGGACCATCACAAAGCACCCCTGGTGCTGTCAGCCTCCATGGGGAAACATGGCCTGTGGGGTAGTGACAAGGACACCCTGAGCTAGCTCTTACTGGGTCTCGTTCTGGGGCAGACACCAACCTTCAGGGGCCTCATCCTAGGGCATGAGCAGCTGGCTCTCAGTGATGTCCCAAGAGCCACCAGGGTTGAGGGGGGCCCTAGGCGTCCCAGTCACCTTGGCCCTGATGTGTTCTCACAATGACACTCCATCTTTCTATCCCCAAGCCCCATTGCCACACGTGACAAAAATGTCAGAATCCTTTGTGATAGCCATCCAGGGTGGCGACTGAGGCTGTGTGAGGACACACAAACAAATAAACAAACGATGACATGGGCACCTCGCTCCCAGCACAGTCAGGAAATCCGGTGCCTTAGGCTCCACGGAGTGGGAATGAGTTGGGGCCTATTCTGTCATCTCACACAGCTCCGAACCACCCATCCCCAGAGGAAAGGCCACACCGGCTCTATAGAGAGCTACTATCTGCAGCCCGGACGCAGGACCCCAGGATCTACAGAGAAAGCTAGATTTGGGGGCACATTTGCGTAACCTGGTGCTGGTGGGGAGGCAGAGCCAGGAGGGTTCCCCGCAGCTCACTGGGCAGCCAGCACAGCTGAATCTGAAAGACCCTATCTCAAAAACAAATGTGCAGAGCAAATGAGGAAGACCTCCGACATTGCCCTCTGGCCTTCATATACACACGGCACACACAAATTACACACAAAGAGAGAAAAACTTCCACGAAGTGACCCTGACCCTGCCTTCTCATCGGCTGCTGCCAGCCCTTGTATCCCCCAAAGATGAGCACCTCCCCTCAGCCTCCAGGCCTCTGCTAACTCGATCCTTTTTCATCTGAAATGCGATAGAGGCACATTGTCTCCAATGGGGACTTGAGTTACTGGTGAACTTGGACTTTTTATTTTTAGGAGCAGAGGTCTGGGATGTTACTGCATTGGGGTCACCTTGGAATCCTCAGAGCAGCCAGAGGCCAGCAGGCAGCTGAGGCAGCAGGGCCAGGAGCCGGCGGAGTCTCTCAGGCTGTCTGTGTACCTCTCCCCATGTGACAGTGTGGCCCACTCAATGCTATGTCCCGTGTCCCCCCCCCCCCCGCACACATTCCTTCTTTAAGGGCTGACCAATGTTGTCACAGCTGTGACAAGCAGACACAGTCCAGGGTGAGCATCTTGAGTACTTGTGACTGTCTTGTCTCCAAGGCACCGCAGTATAATTCTGTGCATATCTGTCAGCCCCGTGGCCTGTTCTTGCCGAAGAACATTTGTTTGATCTATGGTGGGACAAGATTACACCTTGGGTTTCATTCCCAGACTGGGTGTGGAGAAGGAACCCAGCATGGCTCCAGGCTGGCATCTCGCCTTTGGTGGGCTGTGAGGAATGTCACGGTCTGGCTGGGACACTGGCTCTCCTTCCTTTCGTACCGGCAGATAATGTGTCTGCAAACGGCATTGCTGTGGAAACTTCTAGGCTGCTCCATCTGAGACACTGAATGGTTCACTTGAGTGTGCTTCTGGGGCTGGAGAGTATGGGGGAGGGGCGCACCATGTCCCCAGAAGTTGACTTGGGGCCTGCCAGCTGTTGGTGAGCAGCAGTCCCAGAGTGGATACTTCGGCCCACGGCCTGCAACCCTCTCTGCCCCTCACCAGGCCCAGCAGTCTCCGCTCCCTGGAGCGGAGTTAGAACAAGGGATTAGCAGCTCACAGTGAAACTGTGGGTTCTCCCGCTCGGAATCTGGCCTCGCCATCTTACAGGGGTCAGGGTTGAGAACTGGGAGAACCACACGAAAGTGGGAGGCAGTGGGGAGTTTCTCTGTGGACTAGGGGACCAAGTATGGGCTCACTTGTCTTCTACCGGGACCTTCAGCCCAGAGCAGAACGTAGAGTGGTAAAGCTGTACAGTCTCCTCTCTCTCTCTCTCTCTCTCTCTCTCTCTCTCTCTCTCTCTCCATGCACATGCACACGCGCACACACACACACACACACACACACACACACACACACACACACACTGCTCACCTGTTCTTCCAGCACTGAAAGAGCTTGAAGGGTCTCACAGGGTCTCAGAGGCCAATGAACCCCATCATGTCCTAGCAAGGCTGGGAAGCTGGTCTTGCCCTCAGTCCCTCAGTGCCTCTTTATAGAAGCTTCCACAGAAAAAGACACATGACTCTAGGCTAGCAGGGAAGCCTGTGTCTGTCCCTGGAGTCCCATCCCAGGTATTCGAATCTGTGGAAGCTTGTATCAGGTGGGCTGGGGTCAAATCTGCTGGCCCTGAGGCATGAGTTGGTCAGTCTGCTAGCCCAGCCTTTGGTCTTCTTCCCAGCGTGTGGCTGCGACCTGGCCGAGGGAGGCTTCTTCGTGCGCCAGGGTGAACACATCTGCACACGAGACTACCAGAGGCTCTATGGCACTCGCTGCTTCCGCTGTGACCTCTTCATTGAGGGGGAAGTGGTGTCAGCGCTTGGCAAGACCTACCACCCCGACTGCTTCGTGTGTGCCGTCTGCAGGTGGGTGGCCCCGCCCGCCCCTGCCTGCCATGCTGGCCTCTGCTCCTCCTCCTTGCCCATCGTTCTCCAGGCCTGGCTCCACTCTACTCCATCAGGCACAGGGAGGCACAGCAGTTTGTTTGGGGGTCTTCCAGAGCTGGCTGTGACCAAAAGCAAGGGCCGTTCTTTGCACACCATCTCTCTGCACCTTCTCCAAGTCTGCTAGCTCCCCAAGCTCAATCCCACCACAGCCCTTATTGCCCTTTGCCCACACCTACTGCCCTCCTGCCCTCCTGCCCTCCACCGTCATTTGACTGCTGTCAGGACCCAGCCACCTCCACCCAACCCCACAGTAAACCCGCTTACCCCTGGCCTCCTAGGTGGCCCTCTCTAGCCTGCCCTTGGCCTCGTTTCCAGCTCTACTCTTTTCTACATCGCTTCCTGCCGTGCCTGCCCACCCACCCCCACAGCCCCAGCCTCTACTTCCTGTGTTCTGACCTGCAGATGACACGCTTCTATCCACAGATGCCTCACACATTACTGTACTCATATCCACCCAGCCACTGTTCTGGCTCCAGACTCCACAAATGACGACAGCCCTCTGCCCGGTCCTCACCACTGCAGTCTGTTCCCAGAACCCTTGGAGCCTCCCCCAGGCTCCCGATCCTGCCCCAGAGGTGTCTCAGCCTGTTACAGCCACACATTCCTTCTTTCCATGATTCATTCAACCCGTGTGTGCTGCACCCAGGGTTCCACAGGCATTGGTTCTGGCCCTGTAACCTCAGCTTCTTAGATTCCTCCAGAAAGTGGAAGCAGGCCCTATGGGTGGCTCCGTGGCCTCTCAGAGTCTTGTCTCCAGCAGGAAGCAGGAATATGGTAGCTTCCTTCTCTCCCCCTCTCCTTCCCTTCCACCCAGTAGGTCCCTTCTCCCTTCCTCCCTCTCTCCTTCTGTCCTGCCTTTCTGCATCCTGACCCATTCTGGCCCACAGCTGTGTCCTGCCCAACATCATGGTATGATCTCGTCACAGGTGGCTGGGAGAGGACATGGACTGAGAGGCCTGGTCCTGGTCCCTGTCATCTGGCATAGAGCAAGTGAACACCCCGTGAAGTGTCCGGATGTCACCCTAAGCAAGGTCTTATGGCCATGCCTTCTGACCAGTGGCAGCCTTCCTGGGTCCTTATGCATCCCTTCCCTGCCCTCAGGAAAGGCCCCTGTCTAGCAAACACAGGCTAGAGAGAGATCAGAGTGTGCTTAGTTCCCTTCCCTGTATGATTTTTCCTACATCCTTTCCAAGCAGCCATCTATGATCACAGCATGTACCCAAGGCCAGAATGGGGCCCTTTGGCCAGGAGACATCAAGGGAGAAAGCTTGGTGGGGGACATTTCCCATGGAAGAGCTGCTGGGCCAGCAGCTCTTTAAAATGTCTGGGCCAGAGCGCTCCAGAAACACTTTAATGGCTTCCGTGTGGCATCCTTAGGAGGGAGGCCCAGCTGCAGCGGGGCCTGAGAGCAGACCTTGGGCAACCTAAGTACAAGTGACAACAACAGGCAGCACTGTTCAGGTTGTAGGGCGGGGTGGGGCTCTGCCACTGTACACAGCCAGACTAGACCCCACACAGAGCAAGCATGCATTGGAACTGCGGCCCGGGTTCAGAGGCAGCAAAGCACAGGCTTCCTGCTGGAGGCTGACTCCGTGGAACCACAGAGAACAGAGTGAGGTGTTTCCTGGCCAGGAATGGAAAGGTGGTACTGGCAGGGTGTGTGCGACAATGGGGGAGGATGGGCTCTGGGAGTCTCAGGCCAAATACCTAGCCACGCCGCCATCAAGGGCCTTAACTCCATGGCGACAAATTTCCAAGTGAAATGCTTTAAAAGGAAGAGCCTTGGTCCCCGCAACATCACCCCAGAAGACTGCTAAGATATACAATGTTGCTGGTGCTGCCCACATTCAAGATGGGTTTCCTTTCTAGAAAAACTCAGAAAGACCCAAAGGTAATGTAACAGTTGCCAGATGTTTCTCAGTCTGGTCAAGCTGACAGTCAACATCAGTGGGGTGAGGACTGGCCAGGCGACTGTGCAGTGTGTACAGTGGGTGGTCCTTGCTGGGCACTGCAGGGGTGAGCCTTATTGATGGGGTTCAGACAGCCCTGGAGCAGAGGCTGCTGTGCAGTGACCCTGCAGGGGAAGGGTGAGCTTCCTTGAGATGTCCCTAGAGGCTGGCAGTCCACCCTCCTTACAGGAGGGTGAGGGAACACGGCGTCCAACTACATAAAGTCTACAGCATCCAGTATTTACTCAGAAGCGTAGACCCCAGAGAAGATAACAAACCAAACATGAAGAAATGTTAGTGGAGACCACCAGGGTTGACGTCAGCAGACACGGACATGGGGACAGCCATGTCCACGCTGTTGCTGTTTAAAGGAGACCACGCCCGGAAGTGGGAGAGTTATGGAAAGAAACCGCTGGCCCTGTAGAATCCAAAACAGGCAGCTCCTGAAGTGATCAGGCACATGCAAGAGATGAATGGAAACCCAAAGATGGCAGTAGAAGCTTCTACAACGGTACATGTGGGAGTGGATGTAGAGCTACTGTCTGCCTCTCTGTCTGTCTGTCTGCCTGTCGTTTGTGCGGGTAAGGGAGACAAAAAGCAATTCTTTTGAAATAATGGATATAATTGTCTAGAACTGATGGAAGCTAGAAGCCTATAGCCCACAAATCTCAGTGGTCCTAAAAAGAGAGTTTCCAGATATTCACTGTCAACCCTATGTATCACATCCCATCGAGAACTCACTGAGGTGTTCACAGCCACACTGCTAAAGATTTGCAAGAAGAAAAAAATGTAAAAACATCAGGAAAAATACAATACCATAACAGAAAATCCCCCCCACACACACACAAACAAAAGACCATGTCTGTGGAGGAGCATGGATGAGCTCAGGCCTCTACCTGGAGCTATGCGTGCTGGGAAAAGATGTCTGTAAGCACCAAAAAGAAAATAAAATCCACCAGAGCTGTATGTAGCCAAAATCCTTCTGAAAAAGAAGGCCAGACTCAGAGCCCAAGGCTGTTCTGTGGGATGATTCACCTGACCCAGAGTTGACCGACCGTGTTGATTAAAATGGCATCAAAATGGTGATTGAAATGTTCTGACACTGATTGTGGTGATGGTGTTCCAACTCTGGGCACGCTAGCTTCATTGGCTTAATTTATACACTGAGGCCTGAGAATAGTGGGCATTAATGAACAGACACCATAAAAAGAGACGAAGACAAAATCTTTATTGGATGCACAAGAGTTAAATGAATTTGGCTGCTGCAGGCCTGCCTTGCTACAGAGTGATGGTTTTGGAGGCTGGAGGGAAATAATGTGAAAAAGATATCAACAGAATCTCAAAGCAGCCCAGCAGGTTGGTACACACCTTCAGTCCCAGCTCCAAGGAGCTTGAGACAGGAGGCTAGCCTTAGCTATATACTAAAGTTCTGTGTCAGAACAGACAAAGACATAAAATCTAAAGCGGGGGGGGGGGGCAATAAACCCTTCCTCTCTTAAGTGTTTCTTGAAGGGCATTTTGTCATAGCAACAAGGAAGTGATCGATATAAACCAAATGTGTAAAGAACTTCTGCAATCCAAAGGAAACGCCCAGCATGAGCAAAAGTATTTAACAGATGCTTCATCCAAGAACATATGTAAATGACCAGAAGATACAGAAAACGCACTTACGTTTACACCATTAGCTACTGGGGACACCAACCAAACCAACTGTGTAAGGGCAGCTGTAGGTACAACGTATGGAGAATAGCAAGGGCTCCTACAGCAGGCCAAGAAGCTAGGAGACATGCAGTGGTACAGTTTCCATGGAGACAGAATCACACAGTAGGTGACCAGGAACTCCACTTTGGAAAAGGAAGTCTCATGATGCAGGTGTCCAAGCACCCAGATAGATGCTTTTTAACAGATGCAATAGGGTAATGCTCAGCCCTGAAAAAGAACGAGCTGGTGAGACACATGGAGCAGCAGCACGGGCGGATCATGGCAGCGTGGCATTGACCAAAATACTCACACAGCTCTGTTGTCTGGGGAATGGGGAGTGGGGTAGGGGGAAAGAGCCACAGGGACGTTTTGCACTGGCCAGGTGTTCCACGGCACAATGGCATTGATTATGCTGAGCACATCTTCTAGAATGTATCTCAATTAAGCCCTTTGAGCTTGTAGGGAAATGGCCGCTGGGCACTCACAGCCCTGGAGTCTAGGCCAGCATGTTCCACCAGGGACGTCTGAATGGATGGCAAGCCTGTGTGGCGTTCCATTAGTCTTCTCTGGCAGGTGAGAAATGAGAACACAGAGAGACTGAGTAATGCATCCAAGTTGCACAGCTGGAGTGTGACTTAGCATATTAGAGATAGGGACTCCCACTCAACCCTAAACTCCCCTTACCTGGGGAGATGCACGGCGTTAAGACACGGTAGCTGTCAGATCACAGCACTAGCGTACAACCATTACAGGCATCCATGAGCTATAGGGGACCCAGGTCAGCTAAGGGCCAAGAAGGTTGTAGGACCAGCCAGTAGGGCCCTGGCCATGTCTAGTCGGTGTAGGTTCTTAGTCCCCTAGAAACAGGACCATCTGCTGAGTCAGGGGCCATGCCCTGGAGTGACAGCAGGAAGAGGAGGGTCAGAGGTGGCCAACGACAGGATGTTCACTCTCATTTCAGGTTGCCCTTTCCTCCTGGAGATCGCGTGACCTTCAACGGGAAGGAATGCATGTGCCAGAAGTGTTCTCCGTCCACGACGCTGGGTAGCAGTGGTCACCTGGCCCAGGGCCTCCGGAGTAAGTGTGGCTTGGCCTCTGTGAGGTTGGGTGCTGAGCTGCAAGCAGGGGTGGCCGAGCCTGACATTGTGGGACCAGCACGGTAACAGAGCACTGAACACTGGGGACCCAGTCAGCCCCCTGTTCCTGCCATTAAGTCTTTCACACAGGCTGTGCCCATCACAGCCACCTCAGCTTGCGCATTCCACACCCCTTCTGCTGTCACCCAGTTCTAGGCCTCCTCCTCCTGGAAGCCTTCCCACTCCTACTCTGTTCTTCCCTTTCGGTGCTGGCACAAGACCGGGTCCATGTTGATGGCAGAGGCATACGCAGTGTGCAGGGCAGGAGACCGATAGCTCTGGGAACCCCTGGGGGTCTCTCATAGACTGCTAAGGATGTCCTGTGACTGCCAGGTAGGCAGTAGCTGTCACAGAACTGCTTTGCCACTGGCAGAGCCACGCAGGGCTGCCAGGGCACCTGAGGCATTGACGGTGAGCACCGTGTTCCCATGACAACACGCCTTATGCACCTGGCAGGCGCAGGCATGGGGGAGACTGTGGAGAGCAATCTCATGGTGGCCCAGAGCCACAGAATCCCCCCTGCAGAGCCCAGACAGAAGAACCCAGATAGTCCCCCATTCCCTACTCTGGAATACCAGGTGGACTGGTGGTAACAGAGTGGCAGTCATGCCTGGCATCTCTGCAGCAGCCCTAGCTCTGGCCACTGCAGTAATTGTGAGAGCAGAGACAGGTTCTCTGGTTGACACACCCTGAACCCGCCTTTATTCATTCACGAGGTATAGCCTTCACACCCAGGACCTCTGCTTGGATTTGCTTTCTATGGGGTCGGAGCTATCATTAGCCCACACGAACATCGCCCTTTCCTTGGTACACACAAGTGACTTGCCAGTGGTCATGTAGCAGGCGGGAGGCAGTTAGTGCCTGAGCCTTTGGAGCTTCACCTGGAGGTTGTGGCTCTGATACCTCTGCAGGAGGCCCATCTTCTGGCCTTCATAGCAGTCTGGTATGGTGTCACCCACAGGCCAGCCATTGCTCAGAGAGGCTGCTTGGCCCCAGCACTATGGGTGTTTGGGGCCGTTTATCTCTGGGGTGGCATCTATATGGAGCTAGGCAGGAGGTTTAGCATCTCCCCCAATCCCACATTGCATACAGAGGTCTGCCCCCATTGGAGCCATCCAAAGAGTTTCCAGATCTTGTTAAAAGTCTCCTGGGGACAAACTACCCCTGCCTGGGAGCCACTGGCATGGTGCTCACAAAGTGTGGCCCAGTGCCACATAAAACGCTGCATGACTGAATATCTATAATCCCAGCACTTGCAGGGTGGAGGCAGGAAGACCAAGAATTAGAAGTCATCCTCAACTACACAGTGAGTTTGAGTCCAGGGTGGACTATCCCGGGTCAACAAGCAAAACCCAAAACTGTCTGCACAGAGCATGTGCAGATATCTTCCTTGTCATTATTCCCAGTGAGTACAGTGTGATGACCATTCACGCCATGTTTGGGTGCTCCAGGCAGCCCTGGTCAAAGGAGCATTAAGCCTGTATTGGCGGGGTGTTTAAAAAGTGCAGAGGGTGTGCCTCTTCTGAGACTAGACTTCAATGTCCCAGGGGTCCTGGGTCCCAGCCCTGGAAACTAAGAGGCAGTTGTCCCCACAAAGGCTGCAAACAGCACACAATATACCTATATATAAGCCAGGTGGTGGTGGATGCATGCCTTTAATCCCAGCACTGAGAAGGCAGAAGCAAGTGGATCTGAGTTTGAGGCCAGGCTGGTCTACAAAGTGAGTTCTAGGACAGCCAGGGCTGTTACACAGAGAATCCCTGTCTCAAAAAAAAAAAAAAAAAAAAAAAAAAAAAGAGATAAGAATAAATAAAAATAAAAATGACCACACACCCTTGCACAGGTACATGCAAGCATGACACACACATCCCCATAGTTACCCTTGAAGTTATCCTACACCCCTGCCTGTTCCACTGTGCTGATAGCCCACACATTTGTCAGTGAGTGACAGGGTTCCTTGTGTGGAGGGATCAGCTGGCTCAGAAAAGTGGGGCCAGGCCCTGAGATCCAGGCCCCTCAGCAGCTGGAGCAGGGTGGGCACGGTGGGAGGGAAGAGGCATTTGGGGAGGCTGATCAGGGTCTGAAACCAGGACACTATCACACAAGGAAGAGCGCTGGTCTTCATGGCTGGGATGGAGGTGAGCTTCAGAGAGAAAAAGTAGAGATGAGCCCAGCAGGTGCAGAAGAAGCTGTCTGAGCCTGGGATAGACCCCAGGTGACTAGGGGTCATAGCAGAGAGCAGAGGGGAGGAGAATCCCAAATGCAGGGGTTTCAGAGCCAGAGAAAGAGCTGGGGATATGTGGATCAAAGGGAACCCCCAGGAGGGGGCCCCGGCAGGTGAGAATGTGTGGCCAGGAGTAGCAGTGGCAAGAGCGGCTAGGACCCTCCTCTCCGGGGAGGTCATCTGGTGAGGTGCCATATTATGTGTAAGTTCAGCATTCTGCCTCCAGCAAAGGGTGGGAAGTCCCCGTGCACCCCATCAAGCCTGTGCCACCCCAACCCCTGGCCAGCCTGCATCCAGCACACCCTGGTGTGAGAGTATGATTTGTACCATGACAGATCACATCTTCCAGAAGGCTGGCTTCATCTCCATCTTGGCTTTCCCAGTTTCCATCCCAGGCTGCGTAATGTCAGTGTCCCTCACACACAGGATCACGTCTCACCATGGGCTGAGACAGGGTCCTTGTAGCATGCCACTGTGTCTGTCTCTCTCCTCTAGGGCTGTCCTGGGTGATTCTGTGTGGCCTAATATTCTGAGGGGCTGAGTAACCCTGGTGGGGTTGCTGAACCCTGCAGTAGGAGGCCTCTGGGCCCACAGTGAAGGTATCTGTTTGTTCTCTGTTCCAGGTTGTGGGGGCTGCGGCCTAGAGATCAAGAATGGCCAGGCCCTGGTGGCTTTGGACAAGCACTGGCACCTGGGCTGCTTCAAGTGCAAGACCTGTGGGAAACTCCTCAATGCAGAATACATCAGCAAGTGAGTGTGGCAGACAGAGCCAGACCAGGCAGGCCTTGCCCGATGCGGCAGGTGGGACAGGGGGCCCAGTCCTGCTGGGCCATCTAGTCCTGCTCCTGGATAAAGGGCAGGGGCCAGGACTCGCTCTGGCCCCTGCAGCCTTCCTCTTCCTTGCCAGCAGTCCTGCTGAAGTGGGTTACAGTCTCCAGTTCTGACTGTGGCTAGAAGCAGAGGAATGGGGCTGGCGGCTCTGACTTCACAAAGCACCTGCCTCTCTGATCCAGGATGATACTACTTGCTTAGTGCCTGGACATTCCTGGCACTGGATGCCATGTGGAGCTCATAACAGCTGGTAGAGGCTAGCTGCAGGGACTCAGGAGGCTGGCTGTCCCCAAGGGTATATGGGAGCCTATAAGAGCATGCTCTGATCTGCATAGACGTACTTTGGGATATCCCCTACCCATTGGCTTAGTGTCCCCCAGCATGCTGTTAAGGGGTGAGCCTGCCTGGAGAGGAGACAGCATTTGTCAGAGACTGTGGGATCATGGCTTGAGCTGGAATATATTTTAACTCTAGGATCAGGGAGGTGGGGCAAAAGGTCCTCACAGTGCAGGTGAAGTGAGCTGAGGGGTGATTGAAAGAGTGACCCCTAGCACAGGCAAGTCCTCCTTCATGATCCAACATTGAAATCCAAGCAGGGACTGATCAGGTAATAAAGGTCCTCTGGTAAGATTACATAGAGTGGAGCGTGTGTGCAACAGATGCATGCACACATGCATGTACCTATGTACACATGCACAAACACACATGTACATGTGTGCACATGCATGCATAGACACACATATACCTGCATGCACATTACATGCATGTACACACATGCATGCACGCACACAATCATGAACATACATACATACATATATGCATGCATATGCATGTACATACATGCAAATGTCCCAGGGGACATGTACAGGGTCCCAGAGGACAATATGCTTATTCTGGCACCCAGGTTGACAGAATAGAGAATACCAGGGACTTCTCTGCATTCCTGATTATAATACCATGTGTGCTCCACTGATCACAAAATTAAACATTGTCTAAAGTGATGTCCCCAAGCCAAAGGGAGCTTCCACACAGATGGATGAATCTGTGAAGCCTTAGTGCCCCAGCCTCCATCAATACTGTGGGGAGTGACTCAGTTGGACAGAGCCTGGTGTGCAGAGAAGGACTCTGAAGAAAATGGCAGTGTGGCCCCGTCAGGTGTCCGCCTCCACAGGGCGTTGGTGGCTCACCCACACCAGCATGTTACTTAGCAGCCTCCAGAGCTATCCCAGAACTGAGGGGGAGATCACATTGACGTTGCCATGGAGATGGAATCTCAGAACCCTCCTCTTAACTCCATACTAACTCCTGTCAGGCTGTGGCCTGTGGCTGAAGACAACCACAACTAGCAACACCAATAGTCTAGGATGCTGACAAGAGGTTTCCTAAGCCAATCCCCAGCATCACCTCTCATAAAGACCTCACTGTCATTTCTCCTGTCTTACTATGGGAGGGGCTGAGGGACAGTGATGTTAAGTGACACGCTTGGGACTTGGCATTTGAGTTCAAGGCTGTGCGTCTCCTCCCATCAACTGTCTCCCATCTTATGTGGGGATGATAAAGGTCCCACCTGCAACCTCCATCCCTCTCTGAGCCTTCCCTTTCCTGAGCCCTCTCTCCCTGCCCTTGTGGCCCTTCATCTATTGCTAGACTCACAGTGCCAACAAGAAAGGTTGGGGGATATCCTGTCTGTACTGTCTTCCCATGACACTGGGCTGATGGCTAGCCCATTTAACAGAGTTGTCCAGTCTCCTAAGCACAGCTTCTAGAACAGTCCGCCTCTACACTGACTCCCGCTGCGCTACAAGTTCAGGAATCGTCCCTCAGAGCAGGAGAAAGCTGCCCTGCCTCCAGGTTGACAGAAAGTTCTCTTATGAGTTTTGTTGTACATCAGGGACCAAGTGGGCGACCCCATGCCCTCCTGACTGCCTGTCTCATTGCAGGGATGGGCTACCCTACTGTGAGGCGGACTATCACACCAAGTTCGGCATCCGCTGCGATGGCTGTGAGAAGTACATCACAGGCAGAGTGCTTGAGGTGAGAGGCCTGTGGCCAGGGCTGGCACTTTCTGAGAGCCAAGTCACCCCGGAAAGAGCCCTGAATCCTCTAGCTGTTCTTTCCCTGTCTCCAGAGCCCTAAAGACACTCCACGCCTTTTCCTCTCCATGCCGAGTTCATGTTGATGATGCCACACTGTGTGTAATCTCTTGTGACCCCCCCCCTTCTTTTCCATGGCCCAACAGTCATAGTTCACTCAGATGTGAGCACGTGTCAACATGTGTCACACATCACGTCCCCTCACATGGGATCTGGGATGTGCTAGACTTGTCGTCTGATTAGGCGGGGCATACTCTGATTTACTGTGGTAAATAAGACTACAGTGATCTTTGCTTAGGGCTTCATTCACGCCAGTAATTTCCATACTCTCCCTTCAGCTAAGCCCAAGTAAAAGATTGCATGTCTTTTGGTTAGAGTCTTCTGGCCTCCTTCCACCTCAGCCTTTGCCGACCTGATAAGGCCCTGCCTTTCCTCAGCCCTGAGGCAGGCTGGCTGCTCGCCTTCTTTTTCATAAATGTTGCTTGCCTGTGCACTGGGCTCTTCAAGTTGTCATGCAGTAAGATCACGACTTTCGTCTCCTGTGGGTCCTGTGAGTCTTGTCCTGTGTGGAGAGCATAGTTGTTTATTCATACAGGCAAATCCTGGATTAGGACAAAAGACCAGCCTGTCCCGTCCACGGGAGCCTGGTCCCAACCTCATCTACCCCTGCCCTGCAGCCCCTCCCACCATCGCTGGAGTTTCTCTCAGCCCAGGATCCTTCCCTGTTTCATCCTTGATGGCTTTGGTTTTCATTACTTCTTATTTTTAATTTTTTTTGAATCGGTCTCATGTAGCCCAAGGCTGGCCTTGAACTTCTTGCATAATCGAGGCTGAACTTGAACTCCTGATCCTGTTTTCCTCCTGCTCGAGGGTGCTATGTGCCCTGGGAGCTTTTAAAACAGCTCACGTGGCTCTTATTAAAAAAAGAGCGTCTGCTGGCATTAGCCCCTGGGAAGGCTATGACTGTGACAAGTGTGTGGTTTTGCTTCCCTAGACAGCCCGCCTGGCCTCCCTCCCCTTAGCACAGGAAGCCTGGACTCTGCCCTCCCACAGAAGTCCTCAAACTCAAGAAAGTAGCCCTGTGTTCCCTTGTAGACCTGGGGCTCCTGCCTCTACCTTATACTTTGGCCCCTGTGCACCTGGCTGACCACACAGATGCCCTTCTTCCTTGGATGTGAAAAAAGCCTCTAGACGTCAGCCAAGTGTGGGGAATCCCCCAGCAGAGCCTCATCTGAACAAAGGCTTCCCTACATCTCCTGACCTCTGGCAGAGAGCAGCCCTTGGGTGGGGTAGTAACCTAATCTCATCTCATCAAGTTGTGACCCTGTGGACTGATGTGGGTACATTTGGGATCTGTCTCTGCCATTGCTACTGTTGCTACTAAAAGCACAGTTTGGGAACCTGGCCCAGTTCATAGTGGAGCCCAGCAGACCCTCATCTAGCAAAGCTAGCCTAAGTGGGCAGACCTGGCCCAGTGCTGGGACCTGGCTGTGAGAAAGTTGGTGAGGTTTGAGCTATGACATGTCCTATGCCCCATATCCCAGCTCTGAGTTGCCCCAGGATAATGCATGGGAGGGACATTCTTGTGATGCCATTGGTGTCCCTCATGCATGATGAGAGCAAGCCAAGTGCACAACCACATCTGGGGAGTGAGCATCTTGATTGTGTCTCTGAGCTAAGTGCAGAAGTAAGGGCTAGGTACTGTGAAGCACGGCTGGTGTACTCTGTCTGGACTGTGGGAAGGGGCTCTCCTGGACAACAGGATCTGGATAGTCCCGGTTCTCCTCTACAGCCTGCAGTGGAGGAGAAAGGGCTTCCCAGGGAGTTGCATGCTTTTGGTTTTGCTTTTTCTGGGGGCGAGTGTGCTGCAGCGGTGGCGGTGGCAGTTACTGGAGGTGGCATGACTGAGTGGTTGCGCCGAGGGCTCTGCACAGCTCTGAGCATCCTCCTGGCGGGTGTGAGGTGGGAGCTGCGGGTGGAGACAGCCAGCTCTGCAGAAGAGAACAGCGCTGCTCTGATACCTCCTGAAGCTGGGCCAGGCAGGCTGGCGCCCGGCTGGTGACACTGAGCTCTTGGGGGGAGCTGCGGGAACAAGGGACTTATTGGAAGAAAGAACAAAAAAAAAAAAGGACAAGAGCATGGAGGCTGGCCGAGCGTGAGGGCGACACCCTCAGGGCAGGCTGGGGACAGACCCTGTGCAGGTAGGAAGCCTGGCAGAGCTGGCAGGCGCTGTGCTGGGCCAGGCGGGTGGGCTGCTGGAGGTCCGTGAAGTCCCTCTTGCCCCAAGACCATTTTCAGCCCCCAGCTGTCAGCTGTCCTGTCTGCGAGGCCCAAGTGGGAGCCTCCCATGCCCCCCACAGCAGCTCCTCTTGTGCTGTGACTGTGTGAGGCAGGCACGGTGCCATCTTAAGCTCTTGGTGCCAGCAGTACTGCCTGGGATGTGCGTGTTCCTGGTGATGGAGGGCATCCTCCCTCTTCTAGTCCTCTGCCATTCCTGCTGCCGACAGCAGTCCCGAGGAGCCTGCTCCATGGGGACCTGTGGGGTCAAGGAGGGGCATTAGCAGAGGTGGACAGGGGTAGAGCAGAGTGGGGGTGTCGGTGATGAGGGTGATGAGGCAGAGCTCGCACCTGCCTGCAAGGTGGAGCCTGGAAGTGGCTGAAGTCAACACGCAGAGAGCTGCAGTTTGCCGGAGGACTCCTGAGGCCTGTCCTTAGGGAGTCCTGTGGAACTGGGTATAGCAGGAGGTATGGAAGGGGCCTGTGTCCCTGGAGATAGAGCCTAGTCATTAGCTAGCCATCCTATAAGCCCCATTTCTTCTTTCTGCAAAGGTGGGGGTGAGATGGTATGGGGGTGTAACTTGGCCCCACTCTCTTTTAACCCTGATGGCACCGTGGTTTGGGCCTCTCAGTGCAGTTTTATATCTATGGCTATCACCATGGTAACATGAAGCCCAGGTCCCTCTGGGACCACTAGTTAATTCCTTCCTCACTTCTTCCCTCCCTCCATCCCCTTTTTCTTTCCTTCTCCATTCCTGGTATGAATTCCTATGGGACTCACTGTGTCCCATTGTGAGCTGCAGGCTGGCCCTACATAAATGAGGTATCCAGGCCCATGCCATGAAGGATGAAGGGAGCTTCTGCAGGAGAGAAGACTGCCCAGGCTGCTCTGCCCTGGGTCAGGGACCCACATAAACACTTCTGTTTCCATACATCATCTCCTGTCATGACGAGATGTTACTTTCAACTGCCCACTTCCGTATTCCCATGGGAATACTCTGTATGCATGTGCTCTTTACAACTGGCAGAGAAAAAAAAACTGTTTTCAAATAGTTGGGAGCATTTGAAAGCTGAAGACAGCAATGAAGACGGCATCTCAAGCCCATAAAACCAGTGTACTTTTTTTTTTTTTTAAGCGTATTCAAAAGGCTTCTGAAAAAATAAACAACAAAATCACTCCTGGTGAATGCTGACACCTAAACTACTCAGTATTTAGAAATGATAGTTTTGCATTTCACCTACACACACTCACTCACTCACATTCACACTCACATTTACACATACACATAGAGGCAACTCACAGACTTACACATGAATACAATACCCAGAGACACAGAAAAGCACAGACAAACAGCATGCCACACATGAGCACACAGACACAGAGACATGGACATACATGTACTTACCAACGACATGAGTCAGCACACAAGGGCACATACAGACGCAGGCATGAGTGTGTATGCCACTGTAGGCTGGGATCCTCAGCTGTTCCCACATGGGTTTGGCCAGGAAGTTCTTATGCTTGACTGTGGGTTTGTGTTCCCCCTCAGAGCACCTTTCATGGATGCATCCCTGGGGGGGGGGCCTTAAGGATGGTTGTACGGGTAGAGGGCACAGATTCCCAAGATGGCTTCCTAAGCAGAGCTGATGGTGAGGAGCAAGAGGGGAGGTGAAGACAGGGGTAGCCAGGGGGCCTAGTACGTCAGTAACAGATCCTGCGGAGCGAGGGGCTAGTGGGGGGTAAGGGGGATGAGCACAGGGACAGAGTCAGCATCTGGGACAGGACTCCAGACCCCTGGGGCTTTGCTGGGCATGCACTAACTTGGCTCTTCTTGTGAGAACAAGTGGTTCCCGAGCCCTGGGGACTCAGTGCAGCTGCAGCCATCAGTTACTCCTGGGCTGCCTGGCACGGGCTCTGGGTCTAGATTCTTTGCCTCGTACATTTCATGTTCTCGTTGCACCATGGCAATTAGGACTTCTAAGATCTGGATTCAGTCTTGGAGATTGGCATGGAATTTGCAAACCTGGCATGGTGGCACCCACCGGGAATCCCAGTATTCATGGAGTGGAGGCAGGAGACTTGCAAGTTCAAGGCTGGCCTGTGCTGCAAAGTGAGGTTGTTTCTACAGACCAAAGGCTGGGAAATAGCTCAGTGGGAGAGCAGTTGCCCAGCAAAGGCAAGGCTCTTGCTTTCAAACCCAATATTGCAAAAGTAGACAACAACAAGGGCATATAAATCTTTGAGACTGCCAAGGAATGCCCTGGTCTCCAAGCAGCCACCTGCAGGACCAGCTCTGCTTTCCATGGGGTTACCAAAGGAGAATCCGGGGGGGCTGTAGGAGGCATGTCCAGGTCCCCAGATAACTTGCTTCGTCAGACCCTATGATTGGGTTTGAGGAAGAAGTTACTGGTCTCAGGTGTGTGAGGCTCAGTTCAGAAGATCTGGATTTCTGTTGGCCATGTGAGGCGTGCTCCCTTGCTCCACCCTGCCGAGAAGGGGCAGTGTCTCAAGGCATGGGGCTTCTACCCCACCTTAGTGCCACTGACCCTTTCTGCAGGGCTTCTGGGGACTATCGTTGGAATTCTGCCTACTGACCTGGGCCTACTGGGGCTGCAGGGGCCCTGTACCCTTGGGAGCTACTCACATCTCCATTGCCAGGCTTG